ATTATTATTATTATTATTATTATTATTATTATTATTATTATTATTATTATTATTATTATTATTATTATTATTATTATTATTATTATTATCTGTTAATTGCCATCCAAAAGGAGTTAATATTTTTCATATTTATTCCTATCAAAGTACAGTCCCTAGCTTACCTGTGAAATACTACATCTATGAATCAGCATGTTACTCCACCTTCCCGTCTTCATCTTTCATTGATCAAACAGAATATGTTGTGATTTGGCAAAGTTCCCCCCCCAGGGTATTAAAAATAGTGTTTAACAAAAAAAACTATCAAACTGTATTTGACTTTTTTATGACAAAACTTTTTATGATGTGACACTCTCTAAAGCATTTCCAAGTGCTACCAACTGCAGAAAGGCAAAAGAAGCCAGAAAAAATAGCTTTTGGGGGGTTGCTTTTTAAAATTAAAATCCATCCATGGGCAGAAGGCACCACTTGTGACATGCTAAAATGAACGCAGCCATGCAAAATGGTTCATAACATAAAAAAGTTCTTCTCACTCCTGTGAAGCTGAGATTGGGTGAGACCCACTTTCTCAGCCCTAGTAGAACAAGACACATTTGACTTGTTTACTGGGACAGAAAGCATTATTTCCATCGCCCCTGCTTCTATCCTGACATCAGGAAAGCAGGTTTTCTATGAGTACCTTCTATTCCAGACTCTAGATGTACAAATTGTGATCAGAAATTTGTAGAGATCCATCACCAGTCTGAAGCTATATGGTGTGTCTAAATTTACCTAGGTATTTTAATTACCTTGCTTCAGTTCTAGATTCAAGGCTTATCCATTTGTGATGACAAAATTTCCTGTGTTATTACTTGTGTCAACAGAAATTGCTTTTGAGTTAGAGATATTCCCAGCAGAATGTACCCTGTAGTCCATGAAACGTATCTCGAAACATAAAGGAGAGTTTCAAAAAAGAAAAGAAAAAAAATCAAAACAGCCATTTCAAAGCACTTTTAAAAATGAACTAATTAGCAGTTCATGGAATAACTTGAACAACATTCTTTGTAGAACAAAATTCAATTTTGCATCTGGGATTAGTTCTTTAAAGATAAGCCTACTTTATTCTTATGACAATTATAATTAGCTTTTAATAAGAATTTTTGAGACTCCAAGAAACTAAGGACTGCTTCGTTTTGGCTAAAAATTGAGTTTCAATGTGAGATCGTATTATTGAAACACTTCTTAAATATAGATTTAGATATATCTATAGATTTATTTTCCCCCACCATTTAATATATAAGTGAACAGGTAGTCCTCGACTTATAAGGACTGGAGCCTGCCCAGTAAGGTTGTAAGTTGTGATGGTCGTAAACCAGATCACTACATGAACAGCCTGTTTTGATGATTTTTTGTCAGTTGTAAAGCAACCTCCAGGGTCATTAAGCAATTGCTTACACTGTCATGGCCAGGGGTAGGCAACCTTGGCTCTTTTATGACTCGTGGACTTCAACTCCCAGGATTCCTGAGCCAGCATAGCTGGCTCAGAAATCCTGGGAGTTGAAGTCCACGAATCATAAAAGAGCCAAGGTTGCCTACCCCTGTTCATGGCCATTAAGCAACTGCTGCAATCATTGGGTGAAACCATTGTTCACTATGGGGCATTTTTGCCAAAAACCAGAAGTAAATGATTTTCAGCAAAAACAGGCCAGTTGCCAAATACCTGAAATATGGTCACGTAATCATGGAGGAACAGCCCAGCTGTGAGAACTTCGGAACAGGAAATAAATAAAGTGCATTGGGGGAGGTCTCTCATAACTTCAAACAGTCTTTAAGCAACTGGTCGTGATTCAAGGACTACCTGTCAAATTTTTTGACATTCCACTTGAAGTCTGACTAATATTAAAATGCATGGCTAACAGTTCTGACCTCTTTTAGATTTAACAATAAGTATTTGATTTTCATTCTGCATGTTATTTTTTTAAGTGGTTTCTGTTAGAAAAACATTCTTCTTTTAAAAACATTTATATTACAACAAAATCCTGCTTGTTAGTTTTATTTTAAAAATGTTTGGACACATTAAAATTTAAAACCTTAAGAAAGTGCAAAATACTAAGCTAAAGCATAAGCTAACTAAAATGGTAACTAAAAGACTGAAAATAAGATTTAACCTGTTTGTACAGTATCCCTTTAGAACAATGTTTCCCAGCCTTGGCCACTTTCAAATGTGGGGACTTTTAACTATCAGAATTCTGAATTCCACACATCTGAAAGGGTTGATAAATACTGCTGTAAATATACCGAAGATGGGAAATTATAGTACACAACTAAAGAGCACCAGGTTGGGAGGGTTGATGTTGCCAAACTATTTCTAACTCTGAAACTCTTAGAAAAGGGGAAACATAAAAAAGCAATGCATTCATGTGCTGCTTTCTCTAGGGATTCTAGTTCTCAGTTTCAAAAAAAAGGCATCTGCCTGTGCTTCTTTAAGTAGTGGACAATGATTGCAGAGATTTTGTGCTCTCCCCTCTCCTTACAAAACCTTGCTTCTTAATTTCTGTCACTGGTCTTTCATATGACATTACTTAACTGGATTAGTTTTCAGGCTGTCATGCTTCATAACTTAAAACTTGCTGAACTGATTTGTAATGTAATATTGTCTTTTTCCTCCTACAGGTTCACAAATAATAGAGAAAAATGAAGCTTCTGTTTTTAATGATCTCCATCTGCCTATTTTCGGAAAGCATGACTTGTTTATTAAGCAACACCAGTTACGGCCACCAAAGAACATTTGAGGATCTTGAGAGAGAAATAGCCAATTATTCGGATGTTGCTGAAAAGATTATCAAACTTGCGGTTTATGGCAAGGCCCAGAACAGATCTTATGAAAGACTTGCACTGTTTGTGGACACTTTTGGACCACGATTGAGTGGTTCTAGGAATCTAGAGCTGGCTATCCAGTACATGGAGAAAGCTTTGAGGAAAGATGGCTTAGAAAATGTCCACCTGGAGCCAGTAAAAATACCCCACTGGGAAAGGGGTGAAGAGAGTGCAATGATGATTGAACCATACAATCATACCATTGCCATGTTGGGCCTTGGTGGGAGCGTTGCAACTCCTTCTGAAGGTAATGACTGCCTGATTTTTAACTTTTGCTATTGCTACCCTTACTATTACTTTTTATTTGGAATCTGAATATGTTTTTCTAAATGTGGCCTATAGTTTTTTAAATTATTTAACAGTACTCAACCTTAGTAGCTTTATGCTTGCTATGGAATTGTAAGAGTTGAAGCCCACATGTTCTGCATGGTTTAAGGCAGGGGTATCCAAGTCTCAGGCTGCAGCCCATACCAGGCTTTGGCCCATTTGGAACCGGGCCTCCAAAGTGGCAGGCAAGCATACACACATGCAGATTTGTGCGAGCAGCAGGTATGCGTGCCCACTTCTTGCGCAAATGGAGCTGCACACACTTGCCCGCTGCTCGCACAGAACCATCCCCTCTCCCCCCACTTGCTGGTCCACAAAACTGGAAAGGCTTGGGAATGCTGATTCAAGGGATCCAGTTTGCCCCTTAAAACCTTAAAAAATGCAAAAAACAAAAAAACAAGCCACCTTTTGGGGGTCAGTTTTAAAGGATCATAAAAAAAGATGTCAGGAAGATGGATCTGGTCTCTGGCCTGCACCTTGTGTATCCACGAAATATGAAAAACCCAAGATAGTTGCTTCCTATGGCAAAAATCAAGATTTGCCCTTCCCATGTATATCTGTCTGCCAGAACTGGCTGTTGAAACTTTCTTCCATGCTGAAGTTGAGACTGCATTTTCCACTGCTGAAGCACATGGATAGTGGCATTATTCAGTTATCCCCCAGCCCACCTCCATTTCCCCACTCTGCATGGCTGGTCCTGCTAAGTGATATTCTATTAAATTTTCCCAGTTCCCTCTCCCCAGTAAGAAGTTATAGAAAAGACTTTACTCGTATTTTTATAATGTATAAGTTGAGGATAGAGGAATGCCTAGCTTAAGCCCACTAAGAGACAGCTAAATCAATAGCTTAATGCCTGCGGAAGGTTGATACTTCCTGCATTTTTATTAAAAACCTTTTAAAAGTCTATATGCATTTCTTCTGATCACACTGATCATACACGCTCTTCATTATTCGTTAGTGATAGCTAACTTCTCTTTTCTCCTTGGGACCCTATTCTCCAAACATCTCAATAAAACCCAGAACTGATCCAGTAATGACCCAGAGGTTTATGTTGAACCCTGATCTTGAGGCTCCCCAGAACCACCCCTGAGTTTGTCTCAACCAGCTTAACCAGGGCAGCAACTATAGACAGTCCAACAACAACAATTCCAAAGTGTTGCTATGATCCATCAGTAGATGCTTGGAGATGCTTTCAGTCCTACATCCTTTAAAATCGTATGAATCATTGACTGAGTCACAGCTCTGTTATTTAATTTCTTTCTCTATTGTTGCATGTGTATTTAGAACACATGTTTTCTTCATTATAAACTAGGCATATAGCTGGAAAACCAAATTTGGAATAATTTTTAAAGTAGCTCTGTTGCCCTTCAAAAATATTGGAAATGTGACTCACAGGAAGCTGTTTCATGTAGCTCAGTATTGTTTGCCGTGACCTGTAGTAGCTTTTCAGAGTTTTGGACAGGAATCCTTGCCATCTGGGGTTGCTAGGGGCAGTCAGCTGCAAAGCAGAAGCTCTATTATTTTTGTTACTTCTGTTATGTTAACTGGGAATTCTGTGAACTGCAATCCCCACAGCTCTAGAAGACGCCAGTTGAGGAAGTTTGTTGCATAAGCTGTGAAAGAGAACCAGGATATCAAGATCTTATTTGTAGGAAGCATCTTTCATTATTACAAGGATCTGTCAAGAATTGCTACTATTCTTTCTTCCTTGATGAGCAATCATGAACCCATGTTATTATGTTTTATCACTTGGTGTGGATATAAATGAAGTGCTGGGATGAATTACCTGATGTCAATTCTACTCATTAGTTTTGAAAGCTGATATGTCATATAGATTGCAGTGCCAGCCTGCAGAGACCTTGATTTTTCTAGTGGAAAATGAAAATTTCCAGATCTTTGGCTTCCTCTCCACTGGCCTAATTCCAGCTTTGCATGCTTCTGTCACGAAGATGTTTTTGAAGCATGCAGCTAAAACTCTTACTCATTAAGAGTGGCTGAATCCTATCAGTTTACTTCACTTACATGCCAATAATAGCAGCGGTAGATTTTGACCTGAGTACTCAAATATAGCACATCTTGCACTCAAAAAAAGAGTAGATTGAGAGCCAGAAAAGTGAGCCCATTTGAATTTTCACACCTTTCTTACCTCCTTCTGGATGCAAAAGTCAAGACCTCATTTTCTTCAACTTGATTAATTTTTGCTCTCCTGGTTCAGGGGCAAGCAGTTCATGGGCTGTATGAAGCCTCTTGCAGACATTTTGCAAGTCCTAGAGCAGTCCTAATTTTTTTCCAAGCATATGGACAAAATATAATTCATCCTATAAACCTTTTTGGTTTATATATTTTTAGACATTTACTTCTATTGCCCCTTTTCACCAACTATTTCTTCATTAAGAACAATGGTTCTTAAAGCCAAACTGTACATGATGGAAGAGATATGAAAATGGATTAGGTGACGGATAATTTGATATGGAATCCTTGCAGTGGTGGGATTCAGATATGTGAACAACTGATTCTCTGTGTGGATGCAGCTTCCGGAGGTCTGTTCTGGATCTGAGGTTGTTTTCTTGCAGACATTCATTGCCCAAACTAGGCAAATCAGTGCTAGTGTGAATTGTTTTTGAATTGTTTATCCCAATACGCTGCTTGCAGACCTGCAATCCCACTCTAGCAAAATAACTACAAGCCTTTAGAAGTGGTTGCAGAGAAGATGAAAAATAATTGTTCTCCTTATTTCACTGTTCTCTTCCGGTAGTCACTCGCTTACGTACTGTATGTGTGTAAAAAGTGCTCATGTTCATGAAGTTGTTTTTACATTTGAACAGTAGAAAGATATGTTCAAATAATTAAGTATGCTCGTACAGTATAAGTATTGTTTCACCCTAGTGTTCACCTTTTTGCATACCTGTAGTGATGCGCACTACTGTGGTACACCACACATGCACATGGGAGGATAGGGATTATCTGGCCTCAGTCAGAAATCAGAACAACTGCTCTGTTGCTGTTCCAGCTTGAGAATAAGGAGATGTATTTTGTTATAGACACTGGTTGTGTACCATTTGATCTATCGATTAATTATGTACCATCAAGTCATTTTTGATGCCTACTGCCTGCATAAATAGGACTTCTCCATTACAATCCATCTCTAATCTCTTCTTTCAAGTCTCCCAACAGTGCATTCATTTCCACTGTAACTGAGTCCACCCATCTTTCTGCTGGTTGTCCTCTTCTTCTCTTTCCTTCCACCTTTCCCAACATTAGAACCTTTTCCAGAGAGCTGGGTCTTTGCACATTGTCCAAAGTAGGTTAATTTATGCCTTCGGTGAGTTGATTTGTTCAGTGATCCAATCAGTTTGTTTTCTTAGCTATCCATGCAATTTTCAAGAGTCTTCTCCTACATCAAAGTTCAAAGGCATCATCAAAATATAATATATAAAGTTCAAAGGTATCAATACTCTTCCTATCCTGCTTCTTTAAAGTCCAACTTGTGCTTCCATAGAGTGTCATAAGGAATATTATATATTGCATAGCTAATTTGAAAAAAAAAACCTTTTTGGCATCTAAAATGGATTAGAAGCCTCCAAGTCAGAATTGGAGCCGCTTTGGTGTGGTGGTTAAGGTATCAGACTAGAAAATGAGAGACTGCAGGGAACTTTGAGCCAGTCACTCTCTTTCCGCCTTAACAAGGAGTCAATGGAAAACCACTGATTTGTTGACTCCTGGCAACTGCCTGGACAAGTCCTTGCAGTTTTCTTAGCAAACTTTTGGAAGTGGTTTGCCATTGCCTCCTTCTCATATTCTGACTTGGAGGCTTGGAATCCCTTTTAAACTAACTAAAGACATTTCTAGATTTATTTGGCTGTTTCACCCCAAAATGTTGCTAACATCTCCTGGCAGGAGATGACTGATGGGGTAAGAAGATCTCACCCCTATGCCAACTGTCCCCTTTGTTTTAGTTCTTATGTAACTCTTTTTAATTTTGATTGTTTTTATTTTATTTTTATTGTTTATAAGCTGCCCAGAGTTGCTATATTGGTAAGATGGGCGGCATATAAATTTAATAAATAAATAAAACAAAACAAAACTGGGCCTGTATTTCTAACAGCTGATTTTTCATTTCCAGGTATTACGGCAGAAGTGTTGGTAGTAGGTTCTTTTGATGACCTACACAAGAAAGCTCATGAAGCCCATGGAAAGATTATTGTTTACAACCAGCGTTATACCAATTACGGTAAAACAGTGCTCTACCGACTTCATGGAGCAGTGGAAGCTGCTAAATTGGGTGCAAAAGCTTCTCTTATCAGGAGCATTGCTCCATTTTCTATCAATAGGTAGGAGCCTATTGTTTAAAGAGAATCATGCTTCACCTCTTCTTTCAGGGGCGTTCCTATAGAACAGGAAGCACTTTTGTTGAAACCATTTTCTATTTCTTTTTCATGTCTAAGTGGTAGTTGAAGTAGATAACCTGACATCTCAAACTGTTTTCTAACTGGAGAGTCACAATTATTTGAGCCATTCATGCTTTTGTTAGTCGGAATAATAGCCTTGCCTTTTTAAAAAAATAAAAAATAAATGTTGCATTTCATACAATCATGAAAGGCTTCTACATGTTGACTGTAAATTATCATTACTAAAAAGGAAAACAGTACATTTCAAATTTAAATAGAAAGGAACAGTCACCCAACCTACCCTTTTCATGTTCCGTTACATATTGTCCCAAGACATTTTGTGACTTCGGACGAAGTAGAATAGGTGCCCATCTTACCATTATATGAAAGTAAGTTATTTTGGCACATAAGAAATAAAATCTCTCTAACATTGCCTTGGCAGTGAAAATATAATAAACCCAACTGAAAAGTCCAATCTATCTCACTCTGCTTCTTAACATTTTCCCAACCTGGTACTTTAAATATGTCGCTCTATAACTTCAGAATACTCTTCTACATTGATGCCTCCAGATAGAATTTCATTTAAAATATATGTGAAAAAGAAGGTTAAGGAAGATTAGTTTACTATGTGGCTTACAAAACATATATTAGGCCAATCCTAGAATATTGTCCAACTATTTGTAAGGGTTCTGTTTCCTCTGTATTACTGATACTTTTGACGTACAGGTACAGGTAGTCTCGACAACTGAGCCCCAAATTAAGTGAGAAACTTATTAAGTGAGTTTTTCACCATTTTATGGCATTTGTTAAATGAATCATTGCAGTTGTTAAATTAGTAACATGGTTGTTAAATAAATCTGGCTTCCCCATTGACTTTGCTTGTCATAAGGTTGCAAAAGGTGATCAGATGACACAGACACTGCAACTGTCATAAATATGAACCAATTGTCAAGCTTGTGGGGATTCTGCCAGAGTTGTAAGTGTGAAAAATGGTCATAGGTCACTTTTTTTCAGTGCTGTTGTAACTTTGAATGGTCACTAAATGAACTGTTGTAAGTCAAGGATTACCTGTACAATATTTTCAAGCCCAGTTTGAAGACATTTGATTATGCTGTATGAAAAAAACTGCTTCAGCTGTAGTCAAGTGATTCCATAAAGAACTGCAATAAGAACAATAGCTACATCTTATTTCCAAAAAACAAAGAAAAAATGTTAAAAGGCAAAAGCTGTTGTCCAGTGGTGACTAAGTCATGAACTCAGTGCAACTAGGTTTTTTAAAATCATTATTGAAAAAAAGTTAAAGTTTATTCAAATATTTATTATATAAAATATTGATAAAGAAGACAAACACGAATTAATTAAAGTACTGATATATAATCTAGCACCTTAAAAAAAGTTTATGAAGGACACAAGGAAATGAGAACACTTAAAACAGTGTTTTGGCAATTTTAAGATGTGTGATTTTCAATTCTCAGAATTCCCCAGCCAGTATGCTGGTTTAAAGTATCTTGGCTTCATTTTTAGACTAGCTATTTTACAGTACCTTAGATTGCTTTTACTTACAGCTTTAGTCCTAAACATCCAAGCAAAGATTGCCTAAATTGCATGCTTAATATTTAGTCTTGAGTTATTATTTTTTTAAATTGACTTCTGCATCCAGTAGGTAGTGTACTGATGTCTGAAATTCATTTCTCTGGCTTTTGCTGTCACACAATATTCCCTAAAAGTGCCTGCTATGATGCAGATTTTTAAATATTCCTTTCAACAGCATTTTTCCCAAATCACATTATTGCATAAGCTAATGTAATTTTTAAGACCAGGTAAAAAAGAGGTCTAATTCATACAATATATCATACTATAATATGGTATATGTATACCACAGTGTGTTAGATAAACTTCACCATCTGTGATTTATTCAGAAGTTTAAATATGTGTGAGAGTCTGTACTTCTTTGAAACTACAGTTCAGTTAAATGAAGAGGTGGAATAGTGAAATGTTTTAGATCAATGGATCTGCATTCTTGAATGGAAAGTATTATTCGTCACTGTAAAGGATATTGCAATACTAGAGTCTGTGAAAAAAAAGTTGCTTTTCATTGTTCTTTCAGCAATATTCCGCCTGTCTGTCACTTTCTCTCTCTTTCTCATCCATGCACGCTCACCTGGGACTAATATCACTGCTGCCACTCCACATGACACAACCTACCCTTTGTGCCTGCAAGTGACAAGAGACAATGGGCAAGTCTGCAGAGATTTTTTTTTCTGCCTCTGCAGTCTTCCTCTTCACCACCTGTGGTGTCTTTTCTTGTCTGTCCTGCTGACAAATGGCATTGAATCAGCCCAGCTGGACACAGCGCCTTTTGTCAACCAGCATCAGGAGGCATTGTCAGCTTCCATTGCATTCCTTTTGGAACGTTTTTATTTTAGACCGATTGATTGGAAGTGCTGATTCCATCTGACTGCTTCATTGATACGTAGGCTATCCAGAGGCATGGTGGCTCAGAGGAAGGGAAAGTTAGCAGCTGATTTTTAAATAATAGAGTACAGTAGAGCCTGAACCTTGAATGTTTCCAAGGAAAAAGCCCCACCTTCTTAGTCATTTTCTTAGCCATGCTGTAGGGTTATCCTTGCTAAGTGCTAAGAGGACATTTTAGGAGGCATAAATATTAGCCTTTTAAGCCAAGGGATTCTGTGAGAATATGAACAATGCAGCCAGTCATCCATTTAGCTCAGACTCTTTATCAGCCCTTCAAGGTAGACCAGACTAGAAAACCGATGTCATGGTCACCCATCTCATGGAAATATACATGTTTGTTTATAATTTTCATGAGTCCATGCATTTTCATACAGGCCCAATGCATTTTTATTAACAAACCTCTTTACAGAATTTGGCAAACTGTGGATGGATAGCCAGGAGAGTACCGTTCACTGTCCCTGCTTACTCTGCAAAATGCCTTTAGTTCAGTATAACTGGATCTTCTTTAGGAACTGACATTTTCTGCCCACCTTATTTTTTTTATAGCTAAATCTCAGTCTTCTTGATTTACAAATAATTCTGCAGTTGATATTGAAAAGGAGTTTGCTTAGTTCTTCCAGGAAGTGCCATATATTATAGGAAATTAAAAGATACTGGATCTCTTTGTTGAGCAATGCACATTTTCTTCTAGGGGCAATTTTTGGCACTGACTTGTCAACATTACAGGAGACTCCTAGTAATGCTGGGCCAAGAGCAATAAAACCTTAGCAGAAATACACCTTAAAAAACAAACATTAAAATATTTAGTTTTTAGGAAATGTGTGGTATTGATGTGTTTGGCCCATTCTGAAGCCAGAAGGTAATCATTGAAATAAACTTGAAACTATTAAGATTAAACAGAAACTATTAAGATTAAACAGAAAGAAAATTTCAAAGCAAGCTACCGCTTTATAAGTAGAAGGCAGTCCTATAGACATTACTCAGTGTGAGACTATATAGGACTGCAGTGTCATATGTGTTTTACTAATAACTAAAGAACAAAATGGAAAATGGATTCATTGAGTGGTCTTTCCCAAATGAGTTTGATTTCAGTCTCCATATTCTTCAGCTTTTTTGCCACACATTCTAAGAATTAAAAATCCTGAAGTCAACACATTGGCACATATCCAGATTGAGTAACTTAACAAAGAGAATTCTAATATTAGACATTTAATTGAAAACATAAAGATGTTTGTGTTAGCTAAGTGAAGAAATGTTCATGAATCCCACTTCCATAACATTGGAAGGACTAATAAGGAGGGCTCAGAAATGATTTCATAGAACTTCAGATCTTGTGTCAGCATGCTATAAGAATTTGGTAAGGGATGCTGCTTTAATAAATAATTAGAAGAACATGTGAGGTCCAAAGCACTTTTCCTAAACATTTACAAAGCACATCAAGTCCTAATATGTAGTCGACTCACAGCTGTTGAGTTTATGGGAACTGTTGCTAGCACCTGCATTCATGGCTCAGATATCACTTCCTGTTTGTACCATATCTTTCACTGTACTTGATCCCTTCTATTTGGCAAAACTTATATATGCTTGAATTGCCCTCAGTGTATTTTGTAACCTCTTTTTCACGTAAAACTGGCTACTTCAATCTCATTTGCTTTTAAAATGTCTTTTGTTCAAGACAGTTGATCTGAGTTGGTAGTCTGCAATCTAAAATGAAATTACTCTGAAACTTTTCCATGCATTTGTATTTGGTAGTCAACAAAGCCATTTTATGGTTCATCTCATGCAGCCACTAAAACACAGCAACTTAGATTGATGTTACAATCTTCTCCAGTTTAGTGCTAGCTTGTTATGTTGAGCTTGTTATGTTGCCCATAATCATCCAATCAGCATCTTGGTCCCAACCAACAATAATAACTGTGAGATCAAAAGCTTCCAGCCATTTTGTTGACAAAATCCAAACTTCTGATGATATAGATTTTGAAAAATGAAGTATTAGTGAAGAAATGTCCTTCACCTTTCACTTATTTTTAAATTGTGAATCAGAAGTCTTGTTTTTACTATTTACCTGTTCCAGGAGCTTCTTTTTGGCTGAAAATAACAACAACAACAACAACATAAATAATAATAATAATAATAATGATGATGATGATGATGATGATGATGATGATGATGATGATGATGATGATGATGATGATGATGATGATGATGGAAGGAACCTTGGAGGTCATCTATTCCAACCCCCTGCTCAGGCAGGAACCCTACACCATTTCAGACAAATGGCTGTCCAGTCTCTTCTTAAAAATTTCCAGTGTTGGAGCATTCACAACTTCTGGAGGCAAATGATTCCACTGATTAGTTGTTCTAACTGTCAGGAAATTTCTCCTTAGTTCTAGGTTGATTAGTTTCCATCCATAGCTTCTTGTCCTGCCTTCAGGAGCTTTGGAGAATAGCTTGACTCCCTCTTCTTT